AAGAATAATTAATTAAGAAGACAATGCGAAGAGAATCCAACTGCACTTCAAAAAAAAAAAAACTTTAAATAATAAAAAAAAAATAAGAAAGGGGCCTAAATAAATTATATCCAGACATTTAACTATAGGCTATAGTCACTATGTCATGGCATAGGCGCTTTTGACCTTTTGTATATATGAGTATATATTGAGTACAGAAAATTTCATTTTTAGTGGATTACACAATGGATGGGATTTAGTGAACCATCGTTTGTATATAGTATTTTGTTATGGTTATGGATTTTATTAACTATAAATTCAATATGTTTGTTCTTCAAGATGACTCCTAACTGCATAGATTTCGAAAGAGAAGAAATCAATATTTATGTGTTGGAACACAGCCAATCATTCAAGCATTTCCATAAGTCTTGCATTGCCTCACAAGCAGAGATTCGAAGTATCGAAGTGGCAGCCTCCGGGGTTGAAAAATGAGGCCAACACTGAAGTTTCAAAACTGCAGTTCCTTGAATGGTCACTTGAGCTGAATTTTCATATAGCTCACCTGTTTAAATTTTATGAAGGCTTAGAGTTATGCATAACCCCAGGCGTGATTGCTATGAGTGACAGGTGAGTGTCTTCACAGCTGGATAGCTGTCAATGACCTGTCGTCCATGTTTTCTAAACTCTAGTATTATTTTATTCATATTTTAGCATGAATTAGCAGGTATCTGCGCTCACCATACCTGGCTTGTTAGCTCAGCCCCTTAACTAGGTAATTAGCCAGCAAATGAATGAGTCTTGGGTTAGCCTTGGAGCAGCACACCCAGCTGTGCTAACGATGCCAACAGGAGCTTGTGCTTGCCAAAGTTTTTTAACTGGCTTCACACACGCCCCACCTCTTTACCCATTTTTGGATTAGCTGGGAGTTAGGTGGAGTCAGGCACTGCCAAGATGGCAACAGTAGAGCAGCTCACTCACTCTCAGTCCTCTTTTAAACTAGTTTCATTCATCAATTATCAATAAAGGCATGGGATGGCAGACTTCCTGTATGTGAAGTTTGCAAGTCATACATTATTTGATATCAAACAATCATATGTACTGTAGTTGGGATGCTTTACAATGCTCTTCAAAATTCTATATATACATTCAAATTTTGCAACACATAAGTCTAATAAATTGGTGGAAATAACAGAAAAATAAAATCTAAAGTTGATTATTAGGCTACTTTGTCAATAGTTAGTACCAATAAAGTTACTGGTTGGGATAGAATATATATATATAATATATATAATATATATAATAACCATTAATTGTGAAACTTTGTATTGGGAAAAAAAATCTGATGAAGGTAAATGCTGGTACTAATTGTATTTAACAAGGTGCTATTTCTCTACCACTCATTTCAAAAAAGAAAATGGGCCTGAACTCTGATGCGCTAAATCTAATTAAACAACCAAATATCCATCTACTGTATCTAAATGTGGATGTGAGCAAATTGTTATTTATATGGTACTCCCATGGGTCCAGAGTCAGTTCACAACTAAATAAAGCTGCAGGTCATAATTCTGTTGAAAAGTGATTCCACTGAGACTCATACATCTGGTGAATCAAAAAGCTGTTTCAATGCCCATTGAGCGAAACATCAGCCAGTTGAATCCACCAAATCACCATGCACCTGGTAACACTTCTGTTGGCAGCAGGTTCTAACAAATGAACCACAATTCCTATGTTTTAAGGAACTACATCACTAACATTTCTGAGCTCTTTTCTTCATTGTGTTATGCAATAAGATTTACTTAAATCCTGGCTATCAAACGATCAGAGACGGACAAACAGCAGATGCTCGCTGTCAGTGAGAATATCCTTTTCGTAGGGTTATTTACTGGCAGTACTGTATGTAGGAATGGGTTTTAACCAAGTGCAATAGGACAGTAGTGAGAGCTCCATAACACATAGTATACCCAGAGGACAATGTGTTGAAATAGAAGTGTTAGAACTTTATGAGGAATAATATAATCAATGGAATTTAATACCAATTTTCTATAAGCTATTTGGTTCTGAAAGTCCAAGAAATATATTTTGTAACCATGTTATCACAGCACATTTCAGCTCTATTCTTTTTTTGGGCTCGGTTTGGTTTGAACCAGTGGTGTGGAAGCACATCAACTGTTGAGACACTGGACACATAATCCACAGTGGTGCAGTAGGGTCATGAAGTGAAGTTACCTGAGATGACCTCATGACTGATATAGGCATTGTCACTACACCACTTCCTGGAAAATGAGGACTTCTCAACTGACTTCTCATTTGGTAATTTAGCAGGACCTAAACTTTACAAAGGACAATTTAACATGAATCAAGCAGATATAATGAAATCATTAACAATAAACAAGTGATAACACCTGATTATTAATGAGACCTTTACTAGAAAGAGTGCAATAATTTTTTACTTTGGCTATCAAAATCTCAATAGACCACGTTATACAGAGACTGGACAGTGCAACATGAATATATTCCCTAGGGGAGGGAGGGGGGATAAAATATTGTACTAGGTACACCTTAAAATTTATTGCAATCCAATAAACAACAACACCACAAAGCACAGCTTCAGAAATTACCAATAAACTGAACAAACACCCTGACACAGTCTCTGCAAATATTGAACATTATAAGCTTCACAAAGGTAGGAGTTATTACAGAGCTATTGTGTTGGATTTGATTTGATTGTACTAGTGTTCATGTTATTGTATCAAATACCTTGTGGTGGGACTGTGTACCTGCGAGACAATGCAAATATCTGAGATATAAACATTAAGATAATTGCAAATTCTCAATAATAAAATAAAATATATAGATATAATATATAGATATATAGTATGAAACCCTCCCCAACAACTGCTTTCCACCGCAGCAGAAACCAACCATCAGGTTCCAGGAAACCAGCCAGACTCAGCAGAGCAGAGATGTTATATAAAAATTGTCAGCCTCATCTGCTTCATACAGCTATACGTGTAGAAAATAATATGTGAGCAAATACTCTTATGAAATCTTAAAATTAACTAATGTATATAGTTTTACACCTCAAGCTACTGAAAGATCAGATTAACCACAGAATTTTATCAAGAACAACCCTTCTCAGCATATTCATTTCACAGCTTTGCAGGATATCACACACATTATACTGCTTCTGTTTATGTTTATAATTATTCTTCACACAGATATTGGAGGATGGGGATACCTTAATGGCCATGAACAGTGTCAATGTCTCCAGTTTGTGCCTGACCAGGGACCTTTACTACATGTCTGTCCCTCAATCTTAGACCCCTCATTTCCTGTCATCTTTCTACACTTTGCTAAAGTATCCAATAAAACTCCAAATGTGATGAATTTCAAAGATATCAGTTCTGTTTCTGGTAGTTCAGCCCTATTCATTGGGCTTTCCTGCCTTCATTATACCCATCTCCACCAGGCTAGGGTCATTTGCCATGATGCCAAACATACTGATGGAAAAAATAAAACAAACAAATAAAATAAAATCTGTAATGAGAAAAAAAAGATTGTGTACTTGAAGTTATCTGAGACCTGCTTTATGACAGTTGTCACCATTTGCTTGAAAATCATTAGGAGAATTTTAACCCACCCAGGTCCAACTGGAGCCAATTTGAAAGGCTAGAACAAGGGGAAACTAGTTTTCTGTGCGAGACTAGTTATTCTCTTCTAATATTCATGTTTTATCATTTAATGGCTGGAGACTATTTTGGAAATTAAATCTATTTCCTGCACACTCTCTCTCCCTCTCATGAACACACATCTGTCATTTAGATGGTGAATAGACATAATTCAGACGCACTATAAGTAGCTCCTGCATTTCACTAGAACGGCCCAATTAGTGTGTGTAGTTATGTCATGGCTCAAGCATCAGAATGGATCAATACAATCATTACTCCAATTTCCTCTCTTGTCATTAACACTCACACAGAAACTTACTTCCACATTTGCATGCTTTCAGACGAATAAACACAAATCCTGGAGATGGAAATCCTGAAATCACTCACTACTTCTCCCCAGAATGGTGCAATACGTGCTGGTTTATGAGAGATGAAAATGCAGAGGAATGCTAGAATTTTACACTGTCACACCAAGTGGTTGTGGTATGCACGTACTCACACACACACACACACACTCACACACAGTTTGAAATGATGGCACATTCATTCAGTGACACCTGCATATTGGATGATTAAGAGGAGGAGTCTCAAAATGGGAGAAGAATTAAATACTGTGTCAGTGCACTTCTGCTCACATTTACATCCCTCTCTCTCTCTCTCTCTCTCTCTCACACACACACACACACACACACACACACACACACACACACACACACACACACACACACACAAATTGTAGCTGCTTATTTTCATCTCTCTCTCTTGGTTCTCTCCCACCTTTCCTCCCCTCCCCCTCTCCCTCCTGTTTATCTATACCCGCGCTAGGCGCTGGGCTTATACTGCACATGCTGACATCAGCAACCAGCAGCGCCCCCTAGACACCCCCCCAACCACCACCGCACACCCTCACCCTCACCCTCACTCACTCACTCACTCACTCACACACACACACACACACACACACACACACACACACACACACACACACACACAGAACGTAAATCAAGCAAGTCCCACGCTACTCTGACATGAAATTACTAACAAATGTGATTGATTGTGATCACCAGCCTCATAAAAGGGGGGCGCTGGTTCATGCCCCCCTTCCTCCTAATTAACTATAAATTACATGTCCAGCATTTCCTGTCACCCCATGTAGCCTACCTCACATGGGTTTGCATTGATGCATCTTACACCTTTGTCATTAGGACTTAATGGAAGGTTCTGCAACTCACTGAATGAGAACAAATGTGAAGCATTCAACCAGACATCTGTCTGTACATTAGGCCTACCTGATCCTCGGGCATGGACTACATATCAGCTTTTACTCACTGTACAATGCCAGGCAAAGGATATGGCCATTCGGTGATCTTTTTGGCGTATTTTCTCACGAAGTTATCCTCACTGAAAATGAACAGCGAGCGGTTGACAGTGAAACAGTTCTGGCGCACGGGAATGGGATTATAGAGGGCCATAGTCCGGGCTCTCTGCGCCATAGACTGCTTGTACATTCTCTGGGCCCCGGGCCCTCCGGGCGGACCGTGGCCGTGGCCGTGGCCATGCCCATGGCCATGACCGTGACCGTGTCCATGGGGTCCTCCTTGCCTGCTACCACCGCGGCCGCCCGGGCCCCCTCCGCCGGGCCCTCCGCCATACCTGGCCGGTACCTCGTCTCCGAACCGCGCCATTCTCTGGACACCGAAAGCCAATCTTCACGAAGCAGCGGAGAAGGAGACCAATGCTCAGCTGTGCAGCCACACAACATTACATCCCATCTGGATCAGAACGTCTCATATGCACAACGGGTTGTCTTGTAAGCTTACGCTGAACACCTGCACCCGGCGAGCAGTTATGCAGCTCTTGGTTTTCGCAGACGAGGACGCCCATGTACCGTCTCCTTCTCTGTGCGTCTCTGCCAACGGCCAATTGTGGGTGTGAGGAAATTAAATGTGTGGTCGGTTGGCTGACTGGTTGCACTGTAGGGTAGTGCTGTGGGGTGTCTCAGTCTTAGTCCGTTCTTATGTCCGTATATAGCGGGATTCGCCCCCAACATGAAACCATGGGGAGACTGTAGCGAGTTAACATGAATGTTTCATGTTCTCCATGGTTCATGCCTGTATCAGAGCGCACCACAGCCTCCTCCACCTTTCTGGACGATTTATTTCTTTACTGTCATGACAGCATGTATGACAATCTAAACGCCTCTAATGTCACACAGGCCTCAATAAATCAGATTGTCGAAAATTGAATCTGAATATAATTAACAGCTTATACCTACGGCCGTCAGTGACGTTCAAATTGGCATTTTGGAAACAGTCGCGTTTCCGAAGACTTAAAAGGAAATTGAAAATGGAAAAAGCTACTATTATTTATTTATTTTGAAACATCCGCAATGTTTGGTACAGTATGTGGCAATAATGTGGCCCCCGCCACCTTACAATTGTTTTACCAGTGCGCTCTGATAAGCCCTGAGACCAGGAAAATTGTTGCATTTGTTATTAATGAGTCTAATTTCAGAATGCACAATCTCGAGTAGAACGGAGAAAGAAAGATACCGTTTTCCTTTGAAATGTCGGTGTCATTGTTGTCGTGCTCTGTGGATGAAATAATTTTCTCAAACGAATTCAGTTGCATCCTCTTTCGTTGCAACCATCATCTTCTGTCCGTCACCTGTGCGGCCATCTAGAAGCTGAGCAAGGGACACACGGACGGCGTCGTCAAAGACAAGGGTATGACGGCCGCTTCTCCGCCGTCTTACACCCTCTCATGATCTTGGTTTGGCTGGTCGAGATGTAGTAATGCCGAGAAAGTCCCTCACCATCCCCGCCCCGAAAAGTCTACCTTCGTCCGCACTGATAAGCCCAAATGTCCTGGCAGCGCGTCTCTCAGCTTGTGTGAACTACAATGAGAGCTTGGTCGGTTCTGCAGCCGCAGCACATGACGCACGCAGCTCGTCCAACTTCCAGACGTATGTCACGGATGGAGGCACCGTCTATCGCCTGTTTATTTTAAGGTGCTTCGGGCTATAGCCCTGCCCAGTTGGACTGGACCTCTCGAACCGTCCAACGCCAAATCAATTACAAATAATGCGTAAAACAGCCAGTTGGCGTAGAGAATGGGGTGACATCGGTACCTCTGTGACTCTGTTTATCATTTCCCTCCACCTCAGTATAAGTGTGTATTTCATAAAGACTTAACTATGCTTATTATAGCCAGTTGTGCGCGCGCGCGCGTGTGTGTGTGTGTGTGTGGCGGGGGGGGGGGGGGGGGGGGGGGGGGTGGAGGGGTGTTGGCATCATGCAGCTCAAGATAGCCTACAGCTGCAACCCAAGCTGACAATGACTGCGCGCACACGGGCGCGTGAGTAGAGTAAATGCGCGTCAAAGTGTGCCCGCGCAAGTCTGCGTGTGTTTGTTAGGGAAGGTGGAGGGGGGAGGCTATTCTTAGCAACAGACATTTGGAAATTAATGGACGAAGAGAGCTCTCTCCTCCCTCCCTCCCCCTCCCTCCCCGAAAACGAGTCGAGGATCTTCTTCTCTGGCTCTCTTCCTCTCCTCTCCTCGAGGCTTTTCTCATCGCTCCACCAAAGCACTGGTGTCCGTTCAAGGTGCGACCATATGCTTTGCGCTAAAGCACAGGCACAACAAAGATTTTCAATGACACAGAGGAAACAAAGGCAAGGCGGATGGACAATGCCGAAAGATTAAAAAAAAGAACTGCACCATTTTTCCTTGCTGCAACATATCTATAATATCCACTAATTCTATGAAGTGTCAAATCTGTCATTTCTTAGAAGTAAAAAATATCACCCCTTTGCCTCCAGTGAGTCAAACTGAAATGATGCAGTGTCAGTCTGAATACTGATTATATTTCCATCTTTGATTATACTACAGAATGATCGAGATGAGTTGAGATGAATGAATGAGAGTGGAGAAAGATAGCAAAGAGTGGTCTCATATTCAATGAATGTCATGAGTCACTACACCGTGACCAAAGCAGCTCCTGGTGCCATGTTATCTTAAGTGCCGGAGAAGAAGCGACTACATCACAGGACAACATTCTCTTCATTTATTATGTGACCCAATTGATTGAGTCCAGAAATAGCCGCCTGTGTGAATGGGAAATGATCATACAATTACAGATTTAAGGGTGACCGGGAGAATAAATTCACCTCTCCAAGAGATTGAATCCGGAGAGGAACCTCGCACGTGCGAACACCGATCAATAATAGTACGACCTTAAACGTCTATCCGATATGTCAGAAAGGGATCGTTTTTCTTTGTGTCCACTTAAGCAAGGCTTCCGGCTGTGAGAATGAGGCTGACCCCACCACAAGGACATGCAAGAATACAAAATTTAATTCCCGATCATAACTAAAGAGAAAGAGAGAACTAGATAGATAGATAGATAGATAGATAGACAGTCACTGGAATAAATAGATAGTCACTGAAATAAATACAGCAGTCTGCTCATCATCACAATGCCAGGGAATTTGTCCCAAGAACAGAACTGCTGCCACATTAACTCCCTAATAAAATCATGATAATTCATTTCCACTCCTGATGTGATCATATCAGAGATTCCACTGACATCAGAGAAGCATGCAGCCTGGGGCATGGAATTGTGCCATGCTGCTAACCTTACTATCATCAGGAACATGGACAGCACCACAACGTTAGCAAGAATATACTGTCATAGCATGTCAGGACCAAGGAGAGCGCCTCAACGGGACATATCAGTGTCTTAACACTACAAGAACCTCTAATACATGGATAGTATAACACCAAAAATTTAAGTTTTTGCCAAAATAAGAACCCCCAGGACCACAGCAGGTTCCACATTGAATCAGATACAGTGTCATAGGATGACTGGAGAGTTTGAGGGGTGGAAGTACAGACTCTTGAGTTATAGGAGTAGAAATATTCTTCATTTACTTTAGATGTTTTAACTCTAGATCTGTTCTCATGTTTCTCAGTTCAGCTGTTTGCCAGTTTATAGCTGTTTTACATTTGAATGATGTTGCACATATTACAATGGGTGTGTTAAAATGTTAAGACTCTGGAGTTTGTTACAAACTGTCTCATCTCAGCTGTCTAAAAAAAATCCTACATACAGCAAGCACATGAAATTTATTTGGTTTTTGCTTTTGAAAAATTGTCTTCTAGTTTTATAGGCTGCTATATCTTGTGTATGTGTGTGCTTGCAAATGTGTGTGTTTACACTTGGGTGTGATGATCTGTGAAATTATCTATTGCCCTTCAGAGCTGGAGCCTTTGAGGAGCAGCAGCCTTCTGTCCAAACCTGTTATTCCACACAGCCAGCACAAGAAGCACTGAAGAGCAGCATCTCCAAGGCCATCCATGCATAAAACATTGTTACCTCACAAGAACACATACACTGTCTCTATGGAAGAGACACAGATACATGATAAACATGGTATACATATAGTGTATTTGGCTGAGAAAATAATGCATCATGATAGCCCATCTTTGTCCTACAGCAGCGCATGTCTTTCTGACTGCATGTAAACGACATTGCATTTGACAATTACTGAAACCACACCCCTCTGCTTCCTTTGATACAAAGGGAACATTTTGTTTAAGATAGGGGTGTACAAATATAAGAAATTACCCACACTTGAGTATACAAATTCATAAGGTGTTCAAGTTGATAATGGGTTTGAGAAGAAGGGTAGGAGGGACGACATGTTTGATCTGTTAGTATCTGCTTCCATGACATGACGACTTTGAATCCATCAAGTTCTAAGCCTTTGCTCTCTGAGCCAGTGATCCCTTCATGATACAATAAAATCCTAAAATCCTGTGATAATGCTATTGCTTTCTGATAAAACATGCAGTATGTAGACTATTGGTATATTTAAGAAATAATGTGTAATTCCCTTCAGGTAAATATTCTGTGGATGCTGAAATCTGTGAGGAAGCAGATAGTGATGCCAACCACATCCTCTAAAATTAAGGTCATGATTCAGCACAGCTAGATGGAGAAAGTCATTAAACTTTTGAGGACCTATATTGAAAAGGGGGCAGCAATCAAATGAATGATCCCAACAGGACTGAGGATTATTTGCCACAACCCCATAAGCTTAAGTATATGTATGTTAAGACTTGGATATGTTTATGTTGTGTAAATTTAAATAAATGTTTAAATATGGTGGAACCATGGTCTCCACTGCAGATTTCTAACATGCTTAAAAACAATTATTCCCCATCTCTAGAGTTTAAAAGTGTCAAGATTGTTCTCTGTTGTTTTTCTTTCTCTGTCAGATGTTCAAATAGTGGGTAGCTGTGAGGCTGGAGCTCTGAGGCGAGGACCTAAAAAGGAGTTTTGTGACTCAATGATTCATAAGGCTGAATAATTCAATGGCTGAATGCATGTAGAGCACTCCGCCCCTGCTGAACTCGGTCCTCCACAGACCCGATGTAGACTTACATGTGAACCTCTGCAAGACTGGTCCACACAAACACACAACAAAGTGGGTGATTGTGGTTGATAGCCAAACATCTGTTAATGATAAAATATACTGTCTGGGTCAAAAATGCTATTTTGCCATTGCAGAAACATATATCTTTACATAACCAGAGTGAAAAGTAAGGGAAGTGAAGACTCAAGTGCCCAGCCATAGTAAAGTGGGTCAGATGCTGGAGTTAAAACGACATGTAACTAAGGT